AGGCACCCCCAGGCTGTGCAGCCTCTGTGTACATGACAGCCACAGGAACAGGGCATGTTAGCAAGGGTTGTGTGATGTAATTACATCATTCTCCAGTAAATTTTGGCAGAAAACCCTGCAGCATGCCTAGCGGGGGGCTGCAAAGGCAGGGCCGTAATGGTGGAAAGTGCAGGAAAGCACAAAAAGCTCAAAAACTGTGTTGCTTATAGGGATAGATGCAAGGCTACTTGATGGGGAGGAAGGCACACACACTTCTGCGCTCGTTACCGAGCCTGCATGGGATGACGTTCATAACGTGATGAGGGGAGCAGGAAGTAAGAGGCTCGTTCCTTCTCTAAAATTATGCTGATCCTGGGAAAGACAGCTAGTTGGGAATAGAAGACACAACCAGCAGAGCCACCACATAGAAACAGCAGGCCAATCTAGCACAAATGCTGGAGAAGATGCATTTCATCAGTCAACTAGAGCCACATTTATAGTTACTTTTATACCATACTCTTTCTTGTTTTTAGAAAACATTGAATAGTTGTGTTTTACAATGGTAATGAAATGTTATCTTTGTTTTCTTGATAAATACCAATCTTCGAAGTTTTTCATTATCAATACCATCCACTTGCTGCCATAAGGTTCATTATTACCCCATTTCTTCATTCCTCTTGACTAAGCTTGACAGCAGTGGACACCAAAGAAAGAAGGTGATAATGAAAATGTGCTTGTAACTGTTTATAACTTTTCAGAAAGCACCAAGAATCTTCACACACAAAAAGCCATGAAGCACCCTAAGCCAGCTGCAGAAAAAAAATGCTTCCTAAAAGACATCTCCAGTTGACAGTGCTGCTCTGCACCCCCCAGGTCATATATACTGTGCCAGTGGATTTAAACTTTCTATATATCTCCAGTTCCAAGCCCCCTCCCCCTTTTTTACATTAATTCTTGTAGGAAAAAAACTTGAAAGACAACTGCACAAGCATAAACAAGGGAGGGTGGGTGTTGTCCTGGTTTGCTAGCATTTATTTTGATACATTACTAAATACCCAAGCATGCCCAACTCCTCAGTAGTGCTTTTTTCTTTAGCAGGGGGTGGTTCACAACTAATTTGAAGTATTTGTGCCAGTGGAAAAATTTTCAGCATTTCTCTTATCTCTGAGCACACTCTTCTCAGGCATTTTGGAGCTTTAGGACTTTTTTTGTGTTTGTAGTGTGGAAGGCTATTCCAGTTCACAACTGTTTTCTAATGGGCTGCCTCCCCCTTTTCAGTATGGTTGAAGAAGAGAACAAATCATAACTTTAAACAGCATCAGTATGACAGACTGCATGACAGATACAAGGGAATTATTTCAAGAGGTCATCTAGTCCACAGACTAGACCTACAACAGATGCCAGAGGACACGCACATGAACATATTTTGACCTTCATGCCTCAGAACTGGAAGCCATGCAATCTGAACAGAGTGATCTGTGCAAGCTCTTAATTAAAGACCTAGTACCAGCTGACAAGTTTGTCAGCATCTGGCCTCCTTGGGACATAGCATCTCCCAATTCTCAAATTTCTGATCTATTTTAGGAAATAAAAAATACTGCTTGGTACCATAATTTTGAAAGTGTTACCACTCCTGGATCTTGGTTTTGCCCCAGAAGGTAGGATCAGTTGTCCCTGAGCCACTCTGGTCACACTATTGTCCAGTTTGTTTCCTCCAGCAATCAGGACATTTTCCTAGTCTCCACTATCCTTAAACTGTTAAGTCCCACCCAGCAGTGGTAGTTCCTCAACAGAGGAGGGGAGAAAACCCAAGGAGCACAACTCCTGGGCTACCAGGTAAAGGTGGTAGAGGTATACCTTTCCCTTTGGCCTTTTGTTTCCTTTGGGGTGGGGTAGGCCACATCTCCCAGCCCTTAGGACATCTTGCTGCTCTTCCTTCTTCACTAGTTTTGTTGGCTCCCTCACTGTCATCAACAGTGGATGTCTGGTACTTGCTGCTCCTTACAAGCTATTGGGTTTCCCACAAAGTAGTAATGCTCTTAGGGTAGCTTTGCCTCCTGTCACTCGGGGATCCCATTTCCTCCCCCTTTGGCACTAACCACCTACTGGAACACTGCCATGATTGGTTACAGAGCAGAACTACGGATTCCTTCCCTAGACAAATCCCATGAGTGCTTTTGTGGTTAGACTGTTCCTGGATTCATTCCAACAGGCAGCAAGACCATACTAGGCTTCTCACCCCCTCCATCAAGCATCACCATACAGCACTATTCTGTCATGCCAGGCACCCTCTACACTTCTTCCCACAAAGCTGAGGATGTCCAACCCTAAAACAAGTGAACTACAAGGCATCGTGAGGATGCTTTCTCCTCATATTTGAAAATTAGAGGAAATATGAATTCTTATGGTTTTTGAAAGGCTACATAGCCCCATGGACTAGGCCACCATGACCGCATTCCTTGAACCATCCTAGACCCACATCAGTCACAGCTGCAAGAACTCACTTCACAGCTCCCATGAGATGCCTTCTCACTGAAGAATGGAAGCCACCTGCTCCATATGGGATAAGCCACAAATATCACAGAATCACAGAATATGCCAAGTTGGAAGGGACCCGCAAGGATCATCAAGTCCAACTCCTGGCCTTGCATGCCCAAGAGTCACACCATGTGCCTGAGAGTATCATCCAAACACTTCTTGAACTCTGTCAGGCTTGGTGCTGTGACCACTTCCCTGGGGAGCCTGTTCTAGTACCCAACCACCCTCTGTGTGAAGAACCTCCTTCTAATATCCAACCTAAACCTCCCTTGACACAATTTCAGGCCATTCCCTCATATCTTGTCCCTGGTCACCACAGAAAAGAGATCAGTGCCTGCCCCTCCTCTTCCCCTCATGAGGAAGTTGTAACTGCAATGAGGTCTCCCCTCAGTCTCCTCTTCTCCAGGCTGAACAGACCAAGTGCCCTCAGGTGCTCCTCATACGGCTTCCCCTCAAGGCCCTTCACATCATCGTTGCCTTCCTTTGGACACTCTCTAATACCTTAATATCTTTCTTATATTGCTGTGCCCCAAAACTGCACACAATATTCAAGGTGAGGCTGCACCAGTGTGGGTCCATATATACCAATCTGACCCCACGAAAGGAACAGGGAAAGGGCTGACAAAGTATAAGCACAGCCCACACTTCCAGCTTTTAAACTGCTTTTGTTCCTTTATCTTCACAGGGAATAATGATCAAGGGTAGCAATGAAGTGATAACATGAAAGAACTCAAATTTTCAGAAAACCATGCAAAACAAGCAAACGGTTACATCCATGTCCAAAACAAATCAACAAAACAAAAAAGATAAGCTGAATGAGTTGCAAGTCAAGCACAAAGCAGACCCTTCCTTTTCATTCCCTTAAGCTCAGCTTTTCCATAGAAATAACCTCTCATCATTTATGAGTTTTCTGCTCTGTATCAGCTTTTCTGTATTCAAATGATGCTGATCATTAGCCAAATGAATGAGATAGAACCACTGATCAACAAGCTGAAACAAAAATTTCAAGAAAAGACCTCCTGTTCTTCGAGAAACCTTCAAGAAATCAGTTTCAAGTTTCTTTTCCGTTACTCATTCATTTTATTTAAAACCCCCCTATTTTATTTATAGGGCAGCTTTCTCCTCTGCATTTGTCAACTGTTTTGTGATAACTTTTGAAACCATTCAAGGGAAGGTGGAACTGACATACTTGAAAAGCATCAGTGCCTGGAGAGAAAGCTCCGAATCCAGTGAGGAAGAACTCAAATATGATGAACTCTACCCTGTCCTACTAGTTCGTACATGCTCCAGTCTAGTCCCACCTGCATTTATTAAGTCCAGCAGATGTCAAAGAAAACACAGGAGGAAACTGAGGCTGCTATAGGGTAGAGGAAAGAAGTGTAAAGCACACAAATCCATCTAAAGCTTTGTCTTGCTACTTGGAGGACAGTTTTCATTTTAATTGACAATTTAAACCTACCTAACATGCATTTTTCTAACCATTTTGTGGGTATCAAAGTTATTTCAGATGACACTACAATACTGACCTGAAGTGTTAATGTATTTTAAGTACTGGTTTTAGCAGATAAACCTCAAGATGATTCCTTAATGTTCTGTCTGAGTATACTATAGCTTATGAGTAAGCTCTCTCTATGACACTTAAAGAATGGACTTTTACAAGGTTTATCTGACTACATACAACATTTTAAAGAAAAGCACATTTAAGATCACATTGATTAAGATCACACTGTTTTCTAAAATATCATGATATTTTAAAAAGACTAAGAATTTATTCAATGTAAATGCAACTTATAAAGTTGTGGAGTTGCAAATACACATTCAGCCTTCCATTTCTAGTTTTCTGCAAATTAATTTACTTAAAATAATTTCAAACCTAGTATAGTGTCAAATAACATTCAACCTCCAAAGTTAAAGAAGTGAGATTTTTCACATCTGCTTAAAATTAGACTTCCCAGTTTTTACCACATTTATTTTTGAAAAACAAAGGAAAAAAACCTGTAAACCATTACTTAACAGCAGTTAGCAACAAGAATGGGTGACAACTGTCAGTCTGCAAATGTAAGTTATGCCCTTTCTTACTGTCAACTTTTAGTTCAAGTATATAAATAAATACAAGAGCTAACACAAAATTTACCACTGTAAGAAAATACATTATGTGCTGCATTTTGGAATAAAGTATCATACAGTACTGGCTGCATCATTTGGAATATGTAATTGACTGCTTGGAACTGAAGCTAAACAGTTAAAACTTTTCTTTATGTAGATGACTACTCTTTTACTCACCATTAGAAATTTGTTTTGTAATTAATTTTATGCTGCTATATTAAACTCCTAAATGTGAAAATGACTCAAGTCATTTAATAAAAGATGATACCATAGGCACCATAATATATATATTTTTTTTCTTTTTAAACAAAATCTGGTGATGAACCAGCATTAATAGGATGAAAATTAAAAGGCACATTCAGGCAAAAAATAATCAACACAGTTTGCACGATGTTATATTTTAAAAAAATAATTTATGATCTGAATAATAGATTGGATCGGAAACAAATATTCTGGCAGACTTCAATATGTCAGAGAGAAATAAATTTTGTAAAAGGTGTGCAATTCAAATGACAAATATTTTTTAGTGTTGAATTTTGTTTTGTTTTAGATCAGTGTAAGGCTCATGACCAAGTGCTTGCTAAGAGGACTGACTACTCAAAATGTCTTGTTTCCCGACTGCATAGAAATACAATGAGCAATGAAGATATTCCTTGCAAGAAGACATATTCTTCTATATGTGCAAATCCTAATCAAGTACTTGAGCGTCTTTCAGGTCTCGGAACACATTTCATAATCGCAGCTCTCCACAGGGCAGGGGCAAGTAGAAGGCTTAGAGTAGTTACACTCAGAATAAGCAGATAGACCTGCAAAAGGCAAATAAAAGCCATTATGTCTCTTGGTTACATGACAGTACTAAGAAGTGACTAGAAGTTTGAGGAGACCACACTCTTCTGGACAGTATTTTTAAGAGACTTCACCTGTGTTCATAACGAACTTTGTGTATTGCTACGAAAGCAAACAAAAGCATGCTCAAATTATCTTAATTACGCATTTACCTGGCTTGAAAATACAATAACAAAAACACCATTGTGAGCTTATAGAAAAACAATTGTCCATATATTTAGTTAAGAGATGAATTTTGAAAGCTCAGTATTTGCTAAGAAGTTGAAGGCCAAATATCACTTTATTTAAAACAGAACAAAACCCACCACCACCACCCCTCCAAACTATTCTGGCTTAATGATATAATGGCAAAGTTCACTACTATTCTACACTGAAAAGAGCAAACAAACATCCCTTTAAGTCATACTGCACATCTTCTGAAAAAAAAGATCTTAACTACATAGTCTGAATGAGTCTTAGAACACAGTGGCAGGAAGTAAGTTTTGAGGTCCCAAGCAGAAGAATGACTTTAGGAAATTTCAGAGCTATATAAACCTATACAGTAGATAATTATGTGAGAGCAGAAAAAAATGAAAGCCTAAAAGCCCTCAAGCTCAGTGGGTGGCCCCTAAACTGGTTCTGTGATCACGTACAGAGATCTTGAAACTCTATGCAAACATGCAATATTTGTAACTCCCAATCATATGCAGGAGTGAACATGAAAATGAATCACCTTTACCTAAAAGTGAACAGCATTGTGTAAGTTTTTCACACACGCTTTATTTGGAATTGGTTCCAGCATTATACAGCCCACTTGCTCACACAATGAAAAGCTCTGAGCACCAGCAGAGTATTTTTTGTAAGCAGGAGCACAGACAACAAAGCAGCGAGCACTAGAAAGTGAGGTCACTTGTTGTATCTCTGTAGCCATAATTTACTTAATTTCACAAAGCAGACTTCATCTTCAAAACAAAATAACATTCTCACAGCTTCAATATAAAACTAAGTTTAATCTTCTTTCCTGGGGATTCTTTTAATGACTACTGAAAACATTGGTTGTTTCTTCTGTAGAGGATCTAAAATGAATAAGCTTTGCAAGAAAAACTAATTACGAGTTTATTGCTTACGGCAATTTCCACATCACGATATCTGCTCTCTAGTTCTTATTTGCTGGTATTTCCTTCTTCAAATCCTATACTCTATACATATCCTATACCTTGTTCTGTATCAAGATTTTAAAAGCAAAGCCTTCTTATTCTTAGTGACTCAGATGCTATCTCCAACTCACTGCTTAGGTAAATAAAGAAGTTGTAAGTGAGAGCAATTAAGGTAAAGCATTTATAACTAAGCTATTTAAAATATTAAAAGTACAATATGAAATAAAAAAAAACAGCACTAAGAAACCTGTCAGGGACATACAAGTATCCACTTGTACGGGCTGATTCTATTTGTTAACAGTTGAGAGATGTCACAAAATTGGAGTCTATTGGTATTTCAAATACTGGGATTTTGTATTACAGTTTAAGTTATTCAGGTGCAAAAAATGAAGTTAATAAGTATAGAACACCTTACCTCCCGAGATATGATCCCTGCTCTGCGTGCTCTACTTCCCAGAACAAAAGAGAATTCGCTGACTTGTGCCAGTCCTGCTGAGACAATCCACTTGATATACTGGCTGGTCTTTGGAAGAATCAGAGAAAGGACAAGCACTGCCAAGACAAACTTTAAAAACAGGTTTTTTGGGGTTCTTGTGGGTTGTCTTGTTTTGTTTGTTTAAATAAAAAAAATGCAATAAATAAAATAGTACGAACTTTGTAAGATATATAGCATCAAATACAGTAATTCTGGACATAACATAAAATAATGGACTTCTAAGTGTGTCTTCTGTATTAATGTCAAAAGAGACAAATGTACACTGAACAGTAAAAAGTAGTATTGTGTTTACTATAATAAAAACACTTGATAACTGTCACAAATTCCAAGCTAGATAAACAGACACTTCACCATGTGTAACTTACTTTTAACATTACAGTACTTTTTTTTTTAATACCCTAAGAATATTGTATCAAACTGTATTCTAATCAGTAAGATTCCTCCAAATACAGATTTACAGTAATACTCTCTGTTAAATCAGATTTTCAGTTCTTGCATAGAATTTTCTTTAGGGTATGAAGCACAAAGATTATTCAGATTATTAAAGATTAAAAAGATTTTAAAAAAGAGTAAAAGAAATTACCTTCATTATGACCACAGACAATGTAAGGAATAGCAAAACTGTGAGTTCATATATTACAAATGTGGGGAAAACATGAAGTCCTAGAAGGAAAGAAAACAATATTTCAAAGTTTGAGGCCAATATCTTATGATGGTAATTTTCTGGGTTAATAATATATGGAATTGCAAGACTGTATTCTCAAAACTAACCAAACAGAAAGCCTTAACAGCCTTAACATATCTACCAACTACTTGATCACTAAATCCCTAACTACCTACTTGATCATAAAAGCATTTCCTGCATTATCCAGCCATTTTTCCTTTGAAGGGGTTTAGCACAAGCCATATTCCCAATTGAGTTAAGTTGTATATGAGTGACCCACAAGCACTTTCATTTATAAAGTTTTTTGCCTTCCACACCAGTCAACAATACAGAATCTGAAATGAAACTCACCTCTAATGAAAGCTATAAAAATCCTGCAGGAAAACAATTCCATTGTTCTGCACAGTCACTGTAATGTTTTTCTAGTCATTTACCCTTTTTGTATGGTATGGTAACAGACTACTACCGTGGGAGGGACATGATATTCAGTATTTGCATAGACTATAGGTACAACAGAAATTGAAACTATTTTTGATTACGTGACCCTCACTTGCAAACACTAAAAGTCACCTGAACTGGAAAAGACACTTAGACTGAAATCAGGTAAAGCCATAAACCCCTGAGCATGGTTTAACAATTAAGGAATTACATACAAACCTATTGTTCTGATGTTGTTGTGTTTTTTTGTGGGGGTGGGGTGTCTTTTTGAGGTTTTCTGCTCTTTTTTTTTTAAATTTTAATTCGGTAATTATATGAAGCAAGATAACAAGAACCACAAAGAATACAGAAATTTAAAACTAAATCTTGCTAATACTAAACAACAACAACAACAAAAAGTATTTGTTAGAGAAGTCCTAGAGTCACTGAGCAATAATCTTACTCACAGCTGACTAAATCCATTTTTTCCTCAGAGAGTATGAGGAAGTTTTGCAGGCAAACATAACTGTGCATCTTTGGAAGCTCATTCCTTTTTCATAAAAGCTTCTAAAAACAGAAAGCAAAATAGTGGTGGTGTTCCTGATAAATCCATAAGAGTTGGCAGTTCTCCAACCCAATTATTTCTGGTGAAGGGCAAAAATTTAGCTTTCTAAAGCAAAAGGCACGTAAATCAATGCTGTAACTTCTTATTTTAATGCAAGACAAGGTTTCACTAATTTTCTCTGCCCTGTAGCAGTGCAGAGCTAGAACTATAGAGAACCAAGAGTTGTCATCTCTTGCAGACTGTGCAAGAAAGTTACTTATAGTAACGTCACAATGTTTTGTCCATACGCTCATTTTATCGTGGATGGAAATATTCTTCAAGTACATCAGAGATATTTATATGAGTATCACCCAGTCAGCATTTACCCACCCCGTTTTACTTCCTAATTGTCTTCCAACTACTGAAGCGCAAATGCAAAAGACTATCAAAGTAAGAGGAGAAATGGCAAAATAAGAGATGAACACCACACCAAAAAAAAATCTGCATGTATGCAGAGATGCACAAGGAGGGGCAAGTAGTTTCTCTGTTTTCACTGTGTATCACATGCACAGTGCTCATTCACCTTTAGGCTGACCTCAGAAAATACATGAAAAGCAATTAGAGAAATACAGCCCATAGCAATGGCATGTTAGATAAGAGGGCCAACTCTGACACATCTAGAACTGAAGGTTTCTGAGGGAGGATATAAATATAACCTAGTGCTCTCATCACTCCTGATGGAACTACCTGTTTACTTCTGGAGCAGGCTGAAGTCCATTTGAACTGCTGCCCATGGAGATTTATTGCTATATTCCAAAGACCTAAAGCACAAACTACAGCAGATTTCTATACCAATCCTGTGGAAGTAACTGTCTGTGAGGTGAAGCAAGTCTAAACTTGTTGCATACACTATTCTGAGCAGACAAATCAAACAGACATATTTTCTTTTTGTAGGAAATAGATCCCATCATAGGAGATTTTTATGGTCATTACAGACCTTTGCCCCAGTCCCAGATGAAAACCTAGGATAAGGCCAGAACTCACATGAGGCTCCTGTATGAGCATGTGAAGCCTTCCTGACAACACAAACGTCAACAGAAAGACTAACTTCACAGGCATAAGGTGCACAAATATTAGCATTTATTGCAATGGTTTTGACCAGATTTTGTGACTAAAATGAAAGAAATGCTTCGAATAATTCAAAAACTTCAGCAGTGTTATCAGGTAGCACATGGCACATTGGCCAGCAGTCAATAGCTAGGATAACACTTAATCCACCTTTACAGAGCTGACCATAAGCGTCCAGACTTTAATTCTAAGCAGTGTTCTGAAAGAGCTGGAGCAGAGGCCTAGGGGTGATCTTGCAGCAGTGGCAGGCCAAAAAGCACAGTTCACTCATGTAAGTTGGTATGTGTTATTCTGTGGACAATTACAGGCAAGATTTTGCACATCCTTTTTATAAGTACTTTTTTCCTTAACAAGTAAACTCCCTCCTTCTCTGATTAGACAGATTCTACCAATCTGCTGGATGGCTGCCAAGCAGCATGTGAACATCCAAACGTCTTGACCACATCCTGGTAGATCCGACATAAAGAAAAGGAATCTTGGAGATCCTTGATGGTAAACATTATTACAATAACCAGAACTCTGTGGGTCAGACTGGAGCCAGCAGAATTAATTCTGACACATCCTCAAGACAGGACATCACTCAGAAAAATCATGTTAGCTGTGCATTGGGATGCTGTATCTACTAGGAGTCTTAATGAACATAAGATCATAGCTAGCAAATGCAATAAATGCTGCAGCCCTGGCTAGATCACTAGCCAGAGGGGAAAGCCAACATTCTTCATCTTTCTGCAAAAGGGAAAGTCCTTTTCATTCTAAAGTCAGTTTTGAAGGCCTGAAATCTCCAAGTTTCATTGTGCAGGAAAACAAAGCAGTAGAGCTGGATGGCTAAGGAAAGGCAATGCATGCCACCTAATGAATTCCAGTTGGGATCTTCCTTTGATTTTTCTCAAATTCAACAGAAATGTTAAGAGGCTTATCAGAGAATACTTGTGTGCAAATCTGTTCTGGACAGTGGTGGTGCTGACAGTGGCAGCAACACCTGTCTTCTGAAGAAAAAAACCATGTTGTGAAAGGGTTTTCAGCATCTTGCATTCGGGGTCCAATGCTGAGCACAAGATTTACCCAGAAGGGAAACATGGAGCCTGGCGAGTGAGTACATCTGCACAGCACACAGGGAATGCACAACTTCTGTCAGTCACTGGAAGTAATCTGCTTCCTCATCAGTGGCAGAGAGGGTCCCAATGCCCAATTTCAAACTCCATATGCCTTGCAGACTAACAAAGAAACGGGATGTTGGAGCTTTTTTTAAAAAAGTCAAACACTCTACTTTTCTAAAAAGCTATCAAAACAAAATCAAATTACATAGGGGAAAGATCTGAGTACCAGGTACCAAAACAGAAACAGAGTTAGAAAGTTCTCAAGATGTGGCTCTAAGGGATTGGTCCAAATTTTCTCTCAAAACTGTCAGTGAGGACAGAGAAGAACAGGAACTTTCTAAGCTCAGCAGAGGTTAGAGAGCCAGAAACCTTGAAGAACACACAGAGGCCTAAATGAATATACAGACAGCGAGTAACTCCAAGTGCAGCTGTTAATGCCTAACTGCAAAAAGGTGTGTTATTCCCACAAATGCACCCAAGCGCAAATTTGAGAGCAGTGCCATTACACAGGTCAAGCTAAGGGCAGGTCCACTGTTATAGGTACTACATGAACAAGTACTGTTCATCTCAGCTTTTAGGGACCAAAAAGATTTCTGTAGTGAGAACAGAAAACAGGCATTTAAGACAAGCAAAACAGGAATGACCTTTTCCAAATGACATGTTTACAGTCGCTTTTCAATTAAGTTAAAATATTTTATTTGTGTCTTTATTCTAGAAGGACCAAAAATTGTATTACTGCAGTGGTGTACCACCCTATCTCAAGTGTTTCCACTCTCTATAACAGGATGCTTGCTGCATATAGCAACAAATCTCCTCTTTAGCCAGGGGGGAAGAACCTTTCCCTGTGACCTTTACGTAATTTCATATAGTAAATCTCTACATCTTTATCATCATCATCATCATGGCTGGGCTTCGCGAACGAAGATTTGGGGAGGGCTCTACCCACGTTTGTTACAAGCACGCTGGTGGCTAAAAGGGCCAATGCGAGATAGACACACTCGGTTGCAAAAGGCACAGCAGAAAGACTCCTTAGGAGATATATTCTGCAAGGCACGATTCTTTCTGCTTTGTCTTTTCTCCTCAAGAGTGATCCTGCATTTGCATGGGTGCCTATATAAGTAGAGAGTAAGCAGGAAGTCCTTAAAATGAAATCCAGTAAGAAAGAAGTTTAAGGAATACTTTTTATTCTACTCAGGTTTTCTTCGCAACATCACATCACTCCTTTTAGAACCTAGCTCCTTGCCACTCCATAGTATTTCCTGTTCAGACAAAATTTAAAAGTAACTGAAAGTAAAGGGGAAAGGGCAGGCTAATTCTTTTGGGGGGGTGAAAGTGGATTTTGTTGGGTTTTTTTTTAGGATTTGGGGTTTTCTTTTTTTGTTTGGTTGATTTTTTTAACAAGGAAGCATTGACACATTTTGTCAGAAGCATATAACATTGCTCATTTTTCTCATTTTTTTCAGTGGATTTTCTTCTGAGGCAGGATTAACACCTATTTTCTGTAAAATCATAGAAACTTGTTAGGCAATTTTCTTTTCTTTCCCTTCTTGTAGTTAAAATGGTAACAACAGTTCAAAAGGGTTTTTTTTTAATTCTGTAACAGAATAACTGAATAATTTTCTTAGAGTACAATGCAGGCTATATGGAGTGCTGCTAGCATACCAACAGAGGTCTTGCTATTTTTTGTACTCTAACAAAGTCTTATCTCTAGTCCTAATTTATGCAGCCACAAGAGTGTAGGACAATATTTTTTTTTCAGTCCCTTGTAAAATTGACTTAGGGCTTATAACTACTTGTCATGCTTTGTATCCTTGATAACATTATCCACGTACCACCATCTTCAGTGAAACACATGAACAACTTACATCTGTGAGCATTTAGCAATTACTCATCCAACCTTGGCAGTTATATGGGCCCAAGAGTTTTACCTAAGCTCACCACTTTCCTCTCATTATTAAAAATAAGTTATTCAAATAAACATATCTATTACTAAGTAATCTGACTGATTATCAGAAGCTATTATCATGGGCTGGGTAAAAACAAAAACAAAAAACCCCAAGAACATCAAGACTGGCAAGCATAACTATTTCCTTTTTATTCTGCTAGACACCAACAGTTTTAGTTTCTGTTATGAAACAGTGCTTATCGAACAGGTATATAAGGAACTGCGTTAAAATTATGCCAATGACGGGATTTAACTGTAATCTGAATAAATACAAGGAGAGAAAAAGAACAATAGAAAACTTCAAATAAAACCAGAAGAAAACCCAAGGGTGGTCTTGGAAAAAAAAATAAACTAAACCCAAACCCCATGAATTTCTGAGTAAGCATGGGTTGAAGGAGGGTGGATTTGTGTAGTGGGCTACATCCAAACTCCTCTATCTTAGAGCGTGCAGAGCCCCCAACAGAGGACGTGCATCTCCTGTATAATCCACAGGGAGATGGAAGCGCTTTCACAGGACCTGTCTCCTCATTCACCATACTTGAGCACTCCAGTTTCTTTCAGAGAAAGCGTACTGGGACATGTATGGACAGCTAGGAATGGAGCAGTTCAAAATGAAGCTACTGATTGACTGTAAATACTCTTGAGAGTTAAATTAACCTGTTTTGGGTAACAAGCACAAGTTACTTTCCTGGTTTTAGGCACCAATGCTGCATTTCAGTTGGCTTTCGGGTGGTCTCTGAGATACATCTTGTTCAATTATTTTTCCCTGTGTTGAGAACACAGATCACATCTTCCTAACTAAAGGAACAAGAAGCTATAAAAAAGATTTGTTTCCATTATCATATCCTGCTTCTAGAGGAAACCAAGCCACAAGAACCTGAAAACTACTCTACCAATTGACTCAAAACAGTAATGCAATTTTAGTATAAATTACAAATATAGCTGCTGGGAAGACAGAAGAACATTCAAAAAACCAACACCCAAACCAAGACCTTCTTCCCTTAAAATTTTCAGTTACATATTTTAAATAGTATGAATTCAGAATTAACAATGAAAAACTGACATTAAAACATGACTTAAGAGTACAACATGGAAATGGCTTCTGAAACTGGATGTTACATTTAAAAGTAGTAACAAAGGCAAATCAATATTTTGGTCAGTTAGCAGTTTAGTATTTCAACAAAAGAAAATCTATCTCCTCCCCTCACAGTGGAGACACCATTTTTTCTCCTCCCTCCCATTTTTGAGCTATGTTTTTATGTCTTATATATGTTATATTTTATATATTTTATATTATATATTTATATATTGTATATATTTTATATATTATAGATATAACATTATTTAATATTATAGATATTATTAGATATTTTAACATAAGTTGTCTTGGAAGTTACCTATAGATGCAAAGAAAATGATGGCAAGAAAGTCACGTATTGGTTCAATACAGCACATAATCTCCTCAGTAACCATGTGACCCTGAGAAGAGATCAGAGCTCCGGCTAAGAAGCATCCCAGCTCCATTGAAACATCCAGCAGCTCTGTGATCTGTCAAGGAATAACAGAGAATCTATTGCTGAGTGACTGAGTAACTTTATATACCATTTCACAGTGAAATTATAAAACTGGACATTATACTGAATGTAGGAAATTACTATGTCTTTATCCAAGTTCAACAACAAGTAGAATTCAGTGTATTTATTTCAATGTTCTGCAGTATTGTATTTACACAGAAGACTCACAAAATCAGTTTCCCCCTCCATGTTACCTCCTTCCCCACAAAAACAAAAATAAATTTCCTAATCTACACTAAGACTTTCTGTCACTCTTAAGGACACCATCTGATTTCACAACTGCAGGAGAGACTATAGCAGCTTTGGAGTCAGGATTACATAATACATTGAGACTGAGAACTAAAGCAGTAAGAATAGGGTATTTTCCAGCTGTCAAACAAGAGGGAAAAATGAAAATCAAAGCTTATATTTGAGAGAATAGTCTCAATTTAGAAGTCTCAGGCATAAATTACATTTTATTATCATAAATGGTTTAAATGTGTCTGTGTGCTTTACTGAATAGGGTTCCTTTAAGCGTGTGAAGTAAAGTGCTGAAATGAAGCACAATATCGCAATATCGGCTTGAAAGAATTCAGACTGTTTCATTCTTTTTTAATATTTTAATGCAGTACTAGAAGGAAGAGATGAAACACATGTTAAAAAGCTAAACTAAAAACAAAGCAATTGCTTAAGGTAATGCTTGGAACGATAAAAGAAAAAAAGCAAACAGCACTTCTGGTGGGTATAAAGTATGTTTTAAAATAAATACTTTAAAACCATGCTGCTGTACGTGGTCATCTTGCTGAGAAAGTACAATGCTATTAATACTAATAGAACATTTAAAACAGAAGACTTATTTTCATACTAATTTAGATTAAGCAACTATAGTACATTTGTGGACACCATTCATCGGATCTTTAACGGTGTTATACTGTAAGTTATGAAACTATAACTCAAGTGTCTTGAAAGTAATGGAGGAGAATAAAAGACAAAATAAATGAGTCTCCAAGCTGTGCATAAAATGCCACTGAAAAATAATCCCCAGACTTTTATGTATTGAAGTACTAATGTCTGAATGATCATCACATAACTACATTTTTGATAAGTCTGTAATTTATTGCAAGACATTTAAGGAAAAAAATTGGTTCTGTCAACTAATATCAATAGTTGCTGATCAGACAAAACCAACAAAATAATCTTATAATGTTATTCTCATTTTAAAACAAAAGAAATTTCAGTGCTTGTCACAACAATTTGAAATTGTAAGAGGAAAGAAGGCAATATATACATGAAAGGCTTTAAAATCACCAAGAGATGAGTAAAATAAAGGAAATAGTTATGAATAGGAAACACTTAAGTTGTTCTCAATCATACATTAGTTGTTTTAAAAGTCACACAGCTAATATTTTAAGGATTCCCATATACATGATTATGTTACCATATAAGAAGAGAGCTAGCATCTCTTGTACCAGAATTGCATGATACTGAACTATTATGAGAATCACTCTTCAAGCAAGGAACAATTTGAGTGTTGGACTTGATGATCTCAGAGGTCTTTTCCAACCCAATTGATTCTATGATTCTATGAAAGAAACATGTTTCTTCAGAAAGCATCAGACGTAACTAGAGCAAACCGTATATCTATCTGGAAGTTTGCTCCCACAGCATAAAATCTGAATTACATTCCTTCACTCTGTGGCAAATCAAGTATGAGCCCAAGGGCCTGGTAGAAAAATAGGCAAAATTTGCTATTTCTTGTTTAGTCTCTGGGTACTACACAGCTTCAGGTCTACAAAACCTACAGGTCACTCTACACACTGAAAAGTGTGAAGTTAGATGAGAGCGCAAGAAAAGAACCAACAATTACGTATTTTTCTTAACCCTATCTCCCCTCCTCCAGTCTGTTCTTCAGATTTATATGTATACAGAGACTCCTTTTACAATTCCCATCTTGGTCTCTAGTTGATCAGTAATATTACCAGTAAGTAGACACACTTCCTCAGCTAAAACTGTAGCATCAGGGTCTGTCATGTATAATGTATGGGCGCACATGCACAGACACACTGGAGAGGGTTTGTTTTACTGGCAGAAAGGCATTCTCAGCAGAATTTTTTAGATAAGCAAAATTTGGAAAGTATTTTGCATTTAGTATTCCCTCTGTGCTTGCATCACTTTTAAAGTTTTCCTTTTACCAAACACGGCTTTAACGATTGCTAATCTCTCTGGGCTTTGCACTGTCCTCTTCTCAACTCTGACATTACAGAAAGCTTTGACAGTCAAAATTACATGAAAAGTTTTGGCAATTTCCATGTTTTTTCCCCAGTACAACCTAGTTTTCACCTGTTTGCAAAGGTCCCATTTTATCCTAATTCAGAAAGGATTGCTTTGCTATCACTAGAATATTAGATTTTTATGTTCAAATGTTCTATCACAGCAATAAATAAAGAAATAAACATTACTGCTGTAACATGTTCCAGTTGAACCTCAACCATCTGTTCAGCAGTTGTTTTGCTCATATGCTCTAAGAGTGTCTATCTTATTGCTACTCTTTAATCATCATAGAAGCTTAATGAATATGGTAAGCCAGTAAAATTAAAGAAAATCTCGATGGAAATAAAGGTATTAGAATTTCAGGCTTTAGTAACTTAAACCTGCTCAAGAGTAAAGAGGTGAATTCTAAGCTTGGATTTTAAGGAAGTAAAGCTGTAATGGAGATGGAAACAATTCTTAGTGAACCTTGGAAAAACTCCATCTCAATTATATTCTAAGAAATAATTAACTAGAATATTTGAAATTAAAGTTCTTCCTTAATCTTCTCCTTCTAATTGATAGAAAAGAGTTCATAAGCAGGTTATGAGCCATTGAGAAGTACTCCAGGCAAGCAAAGAATGACATTCCCAATATTAGCAATGATATTCCTAAGACACTGCAGGAAAAAATATGTACATTTTCATACATAAAGTACTGTAATAACATAGCTATATTTTCTTTTTGTCTTTTTGGTACATAAAGTAAGCTGGCAATTTCCCTCCAGTTGCACAATTTTCATCATAATGTTTCTGTGCATAGAGAACATGAAAAAGCAACATTACACCAGTGAATGCTCTGGCTGCAATATTCTTCAGTTCATTGTGGTAAATATCTCGACCTAAAAGTACCAGTCGAGCCCTGGATCCTGAATGGTTGTATTGAAAACCATAAGCAAGATTTGCTCTTTATGTTGTGATTCAGAACAGTTCTCCAGTTAAAACAAACCACCAACCACTATCTGCACAACTTAAAAGCTTCAAAAGGAGATGCTGAAAGTGTAACAATGATCTACTAAACCTTCATTACTGATGGCAAAATTCAAAGATGGACAACTGTGTCTCTCAGCTATACTTTTATAGGACTGGCACTTGACACAAACTCCCCCCACACCTGATCTGCCTAACTAGTTGAGAGACAAAAGGGAGGGGAATTCCAATTATTTCTGAGAACACTGGGAATTTAAAGAGGTATCTTAAGCTCCAAGTCTTTGTAAAATATCTCATATTTGAGATGCACTGCTTTAACTTAGTTTACCCAGAGATGTATTTAAGACCCTGTTTCAGATGTAATGAGTTGCAATGTTATCCAAGTGAGCCAAGCAGTTCAGAAATGCTCAAAAGTCACTATCATACAAGAAGCTCCTCAATTCACAGGATAATCCTTACAGCAAAATTGCTTACTCACACTGCAGTATAGGAACCTCTTCTGTCCTATCTTCCCTCTTGTTTTCCCATACAGAATTTGTCGTTATTGGTAGGGAAATGACAATCCTTGTTTAATTAGTCATGGGAGATTTTTCAAACACAGGAAACAAGTAAAATAAAATAAGTTTATATATAATGTGCATTACATGTGCTAGTGTTACAGATTAATCCAAATACAGAAGAAAATTAGGTGGCCCCAGAATTCCAGTCAACACTGAAGCACATAATAAGTAACTGTACGCATGAAGCAGGAATACTGTATCATTCCTACCCTCTTTGTCATGTATTGGAAAAGATTTGGCCTGCAGATTAACCTGCATGCTAGAGAGTGAGTTAAAATATCTTATTTATAATCATCTCTCAGATTTTCTAAATGGAGCTGTCTTTGGTCAAGGCCACCAAAATAGGCACTCTCTTCTACAAATTCAAAAGCTTTTTTTAGAATTACACCAGCATAGAAAATTCTGTGTTTGCAGATTAATTATACCAACTCCTTTAATACTTGGTTTTCCCAGGAAGAAGATCTTTGCAGGAACCACTACAGTTTAATTGTTTTTCTTCCTGGCACCTAAAAACTTTAATTTATCCTTTCCAAAGACATGCAGCAAATTAGATTTCCATCCCTCATCCTATGTTTTTATTCCTGACGTAGTAGGGGCACCTATACCAATAAAAAGATTTGTTTTCCAGAAGATTTGTTTGTTGATCTGTTCAACTAGACAACCAAATACTTTTTTTTTCAGTCTGTGTGTTTAAACCACAACTTGTAGCATTACTATAATGAATGTATCTGTGTCAGTGAATATCAAGCATCTCAACTGGTTTACTGAGGTTACCTGCAGTATCCTTTGTACTGTTCCCTTTGATACATTATTTATCAACTCTAACAGGAAAATTGTTGAAAATGCTGAAGAAGCGTTCTGGTTCTGCAGTATAAATCCAACACACTCAAACATATTCTCCCCCCAGGTTTGTGTTCCCACATGTATTATGTAAAGTCATATACACAAGCTCCTTGTTCATTTGACAGGCAATTTTGGTACAATACACCCAATTCATCCACCAGACTATGTAGGTCACGTTTTTAATGAAAGTAAAACTGCTTCTAGATATCATCATATTTTATGCAACTTTGTGATTTGGTTGCTGGTTTTTATTGAAGTTCTACAAATGTAATGTCTGCTAGTTAGAAAGTAAAAAGGAAAAACTAGTTTTGTTCCTTCTCTTATTAGATGCTACACTTGGAATATGAATAGGTGTTTAGAGCAATGACATTTTTAACTGGTACAACAGAAGTCAACAACTGTAAAGTTATGCTCTCACTAACTTCTTTTTGACCTTCCTGAAGGAGGTCAGCTTTCCCTGTTGGACTGTAGTAACTAAGCTAACACCCCTAGAAAAAAAGGTGCAGGCACAGGAATACTTTGGCTTAATTATTCTCAGAGGACATAATCTGCACATTCAGGATAATGGAGTTTCAAACCCACAACATTATCAGCAACTGTCACATTCTGTTCTCCAGCAGTATAGTTTTTCAGAGGGCTGAAACATGAGAGAGAAACAAATAGAAGGAAAATTCAGGGGTAAATGAACCAAACCCAATAGGGTTATTAAAATCTATGATCCTTGAGGCATTTCTCTACTTTCTTAACTTCATCCCAAACTGTGTATCCCACACAAAAAGAAAATTATTTTATAATAAAAACCATGTTGAGAACTTGTTATGAAGATATTTGTGAGCAAATGTCACAATCAGGCATTATCAGTATCTCAAAACCCATCCTAAATTATTTTCAAATGCAAGAAGTAGCCCAAAATTAAAACTTGGATCATTATTCCTAAACTGGCTGTATTAAAAGCTAACAGCAGAAATTCAGCAGATTGACATTCAAATTTTATCTCTTCTTACTCATCTGTGCTGGAATGCATGAATCATCTGCACATTCGAGGGTTGTTTTAAAACATTTTAAACTCAAATAATTAATTACAGAGGTACATGTATATCCAGTAACAGTAAGTGCAATGGCTTTGATAGTGATGCAGTAAAGTATCGTGTGTATAAAAATGTTTTATTAATTGAAAAGATTACCGTTAACATAAGGAAGGTGAATGCAGTTATTCCTAGAATGAGGATTTCTTTATTCCCTTTGCTTTCTGCGTGCAGCTTGCGATAATACGGTCCTATGAGATAAGTCTTTATAACAAGACATAGAAGAAAAACAGCGGCCAAAGAAAAGAGAATTTGGCCAATCAGTATCAGTATTCTCAGTATTTCCTTGAAAATGCTGGAAGAGAAGGACAAACAAAAAGTTTCTTTCAAGTGCTCTCATATTTCCCAACCAGTTCCCCTTAACTGAAAAGATCTAATTTTGTAAATGTTCCAAACTGAGTAGCCACAGGAAGATATTTAAATACATTTGCAAACAAGATTAACACTAAATCTGCTGAGTGCCCAGTAACCTCTTTTACAACCTAGAATTTACTTCCATGTTGACTCAAAAAGATTTTTGTTGACTGATTCCAAGGTAAGCCATCAGACTCAATAATGCTATCACACAGTCTTTGACAAAAACATGCCCTGGGGGAATAAAGTAACTTTTTTTTTTTTTAAATAACAAACTTTTCACTACAAATTATAATTACCACACAGGACTAAGGCTGCTAGAGCAAAAAGAATATTTTCATACAACATGTCAAGTAGAAACAGTAAAGGAAACTCCCAGGAATGGAGTGCCTATTTTTCATGGAACTGACATTAACTGTAGTGCTCTCAACGTTCATATTGGCAATCTACAGACTGATTGCAAGGGGGGAGGTGGAGATCCATACAATAATTTTTCTTTACCTGGAATGTGTGCTCACTCCTGCTTGAATAAGTGTAGGCATGACAGCTATAAATAAACCAAGCTGCACATCCTGCATCACCAACATGCCAAGTAGTACGCTGCTGTAGTCAATGTCCCCTGTACACCGGCAAAGCAGTCATGGAAACAGTCATTAGAGGCTATGAATGCTTGCAATGCTCAGAAATCTAGAGAAGGCTTAATCCAATGGAAGCCAAGTATAGCTCTTAATGGGGTGAAGGCCATTCAAAGCAGTCTGGGTTTTTTCCCCATTAGTAGGTAAATTAAAATATATATAAGACATTAAAATACAAATAAAATATTCATGAGACTCCTGTTACACAATAAAAACATAGACTTTGCTTAGCAGTTAAGCACTAGTCATGCATTTAGTGAAACTTCTTTACTGAGAGCATACAGTTTTTAGAATAACAGACATGTAAGAGCCAGCATGTGTAAAATATACACTTTGAATTCTGGCATTAGAGTGAATATTCTAGAGGGTGGAGAATACTTTAATGCAGTTTATATAAGGGAGGTTTAAATGGAAGAAAGCAGGATGTCAAAACTTTTGAAAGGAAACATGTAGAAGTACTTGAGAAGATAGCAATATGACCCTTGAAGGTAGTTATTTGAAGAGCTGTTAGCTATGAAAGACCACCTGAACTGGTCTCTGTTGAAGAAGGATGTAAATTACTTAAATTAGCTTTTCTGCCCTGATGATAAACTGGTAGCAATGGTCTAATCTGGTAACCTCTTAAAAAGCTCAAGGATTACAGACCCTCAGTAAAGTCAGTTCTTAACATGGAGAGCACTGGTTGGGCTATACTGTCTTTCTCCAGAGAGGACTGGCTATGTAAAAAGCAAGAACACTTCCTAACAAGAATATACACAACACTGGCCAGTGTTAAACAAGGATGATCTCTTGTAAACCAGACTTAACAGTCACTTTTGTTTTGTTTTTTTTAACTAGTTTCTCTCATAATATTACGAAGTCAACTTCTTTCAGACTTTACTGTAGATACTACAGTAGCCCATATTTAAAGTCATACATACCTTCTTTATCTCCTCGAACACTACCTGCAAGGAATCTTGACACCAGTGGTGTGCTTGATAAAGATAAACAAGTGGAAATGAAGACACTCTGTGTTGGTCTAATTTGGAGCAAGTGCCCCCATAGTAAACCAAAGGCAATCATCAGAACTGTCATGTAGCAAGGTCCTTGCAAAGATATTTTCCATACCTGGGGACAAAAAAAGTTTTTATGATAAAGGCTGATGACACTTTTCTTCTCACCGCTAAGTTACAATGATTTTCATCACAAATAAGCAGTTAAAAATGCATGATTTGAGGCTGCAGTGCTGGGCCACAGAAGTAATGGTCTGTCACCCTGTACAATCCAAAACTCTGAAGTTATTATGCCTAGTAGACATTCTATACCAGAAGACTCATTACCAGAAATTAGGTAAATTTTCCAGAGTTCATGGACAAATTAGGGGCCAAAGCTCCAGTATGGGTTGATATATATTAAAAATTATCACGTGGAAGACCAGTTATTTGATGTGATTCTAGGATGGGGAAAAAATGGGAGTGGCAAAGGTAGTCACCAATACCAGCAACCTGTTCCAAATTCATGCACACACAACTCTGAAGCAGCCATTTACCTACTACAGTTTAGGAACTCTTGAATTACTAGTTTTTATCTTTGACTTTAGATGAACTAGAAATAGTAGATTAAACTGAATGGTCATAAATTTCAACACATTTCAATTAAAGTTTTTATAGTATCATGAACTCACAACCATCAGTTTAGGAACAAATCACACCATGCAATTCTTTACATACAGTCTGCACATGTTTTGCAGCAGTATTTTCCACTATTAAAATTCTAGCTGGTTTATGAGATAACTTTTTTTTTAAATTAAGACCAAAAGAACCTTGTAGCTTTTTGCTGAATCCTGATGGCCACATCATGTAATAGTCCAGATTGTGTTAACATACTTGCTGAATCACTTTATTAGCCAGTAGAGCATGTACCATCAATTCAGTATGCAGTACTTAAACGGTTTGATTTTTTATAACAGGACTGGCAAACATCACTGGACACTTTGTAACAACAACTCCATGTTACTGCATGTCAAAATTAAGCAGAGATGTACTGTCATAAATTGTGAGAGATTAGTAATTAAACTGTTTTACTAAAATGAAGAGGAATAGCAAATGTAAGTTATTTTAAACACTGAATAAATAATGCATTCTGTTCTTTCCAATGAGGTAAAGTGCAGAAGCAAATGTCATATTTGTCTTTTTGAAAAATGTACAAAGTTACACCAATATATCATAGGGAGAGTATAAAAATCTCAAACATAACTGATAACTGGAACATTAGCAATTAAATACTTTAATGTAGAGGTATTATGCAAAAATACCTTTCTTAGTCTTTCAGGAGAAAATTCCAGACCAACTAGAAAGAGAGTGAAGAACACACCAAACTCTCCTAATGTCTCCACCTGTACAATAGACTTAAAATAAAAAAAAAATTAAATAAATCAGTGCACAACAGTCTACTTATAATACAAATTATAATTCCACTACAAAACAAATTGTTTCTCATTATGTTTCCATAGGTAGTTCACTTGCTGTAATATGACATCAGAAGTTCCTACAGTAACCTTAGGGTTCAAACATTTTTCCCATCACTTGGCTGATACTAGATGATAATTTGGTTGGATAGTGTTGGTCACACTAAATGCACATGTGCACTCATCTAGGTAAGCTTGCTGGCTGGATGAAAATGAACAGGTTATGTTTTATGCATGTACTATTAAATCCCCAAAGCTTGCACTCCAGAAGTTACTTCTTGCTAGTTATTTTGTCTACTGGTATAATCTTTCTGCTAGACTGTAGTTGCTGTTCTGCTCACCACCCAATAGACTGCACACATCCATCTCTCAGGCCAGTAGAACTACCAGCCCTTTCTGCTTTCAGAGAGAAGGGTGGAAAAGCAGGAAAAGTGGTTGTCTTCCTCATCATAGCAGAAAAATGGGGATACTTCTGGCTGGCAACTGGTCACCAGTGGTGGATCCTCAGGGTTCAGTTGTAGGGCCAGTTCTATTTTATCTATATATAAAATATATATATATATATATATCTCAATCTGTAATCTCAGTGCAGGAGCTGCATGCACCACTAGCAAGTTTGCTGATGATACTAGGCTGGGAGGTGCTGCTGGCACTCTTGAGGGACAAGACACCTTGCAGAGAGATCTAGATACACCAGAGTATTGGGTAATGATTACTGGGAGATTTAACAATGCTGGATTCTGCACCTAGGATGGAGTAGGTCAGGCACAAGAATAAATTAGGAGAGGAATGGCTGGAGAGCAACCTGCAGAAAGGTGTCTGGGGGTGCTGATGGACAGCAAGCTCAGTGTGAGTCAGCAGGGAGCCCTGGCAGCCCAGAGGGCAAATCCCATCCTGGGGTGCATCAAACACAGCATCACCAGTCACTCAGGACAGGTGATTATCCTGCTGTATTCAGTGTTGGTGCAGCCTCACCCGGAGTTCTGTGTGCAGTTCTGGGCCCTACAATTTAAGAAGGATTTGAAGGTACTTGAATGCATCCAGAGGAGGGCTACAAAGCTGGTGGAAGTGCTGGAAGGAATGTCCTATGAGGAGCAGCTGAGGACAGTTTGTCTAGCTTGGAGAAAAGCAGGCTGCGGAGCAACCTCATTGCTGTCTACAGCTTCCTGAGGAGGGGAAGTGGAGAGGGAGGTGCGGATATCATCTCCTTGGGATTCAGTGACAGGATGCGTGGGAATGGTTCAAAAGCTGCATCAGGGAAGCACTAGGAACCATTTCTTTACTGAGAGGGTGGTCAAACCCTGGAACAGGCTTCCAGAAGAGTTGATTAAAGCCCCCAGATGGTCAGTGTTCAAGAGGCATTTGGACAATGCCCTTAACAATATGCTTTAACTTTTGGTCAGCCCTGAAGTGGTCAGGCAATTCACTGAAATAGTCTATTCTAAAAACCTATCATTTCTTTTCTGTGCATTTACAGGTCAGAGCAGAAGAGAACAGGGTCTATAATCAATCACAGAGAAGTGTAGATGGAAACTATCTTTCCTGCCAGATTAGAATCTGCCTGCTTCCTCAGTTCCTCCAATATTCAACTTTTTTAAGAAATACAGAAAAAAGCATACAAAAGAGACCCAGTCAACATGAACATTATTCAGATGAGTAACATTTAATCACAGCTGCACAAGAAACTGGCAGGTCACTTTAACTGCCTTGAAGAAACATCTCTCATCTGTTCTGACCACATCATCTTTTTCAACTTAAATCCCTGAAAATCCGTTTTTGGATCTATTCCAAATGTCAAGCTTCCAGACTTGTTTCTCAGTCTAAGTGGTCAAACTTTCCAGACCTTCTCAACCCAGAAATTACATACAACACAAAGGTTATTATTTAATCTAAAGTTTAGAATATAAAATTTTGAAAGTGTAGTACTTGGACCCTTCTCTTCCAATACAAGATTGCAGGATTTTGTCAATTTCTACCCATCTCTACTTACTTTTGAGCCCAACAGTCATTTTCAACAAAAGCCCAGGTAAGAGCAGATGTTGCTAAGACAGCAAGTTCCAAGCGGTTACATGGATATCATTCCAACAGACTTGTTGAACGTAGGTGGACGTTATGGTGCAGCCTTAACGTGTGATCTGTTTTGCCTGCTGGCTAAACAATCTGTTAATGCACACCAGACCACTAATCAAAACATGTCCAGCCAACCACTGCCCATGGTTTCGCATGAGCTAGTAATCAGGGTACACGTGATGGAGCTAAAAAGGTTCAAGAGACTTCAGGAATGTGGGCCGGGTACAGGGAAAGAAACAGGGTGACTAGGATGGATGAATGAGCTACAGAGAAGCAAAATAACTCTCTAAAAAGCCAAGCTATGCTAGTCAGGGAACTACTTGTTTTAAACACTTCCTCCACTGTGAATTCTTTTTTTGTTTGTTTTTTAATACATTTGAAGTTGGCAATACCATATTATTTTAAAACTACTTTTAAAGACTTTGACGAATTAAATCAGTCAAGAAGTAACTTGCATGCTTACTTTGATACTGTTTAGTCCTGAGGGTCCTAAGAGTACTCCACAGATGATATATCCAAACATGGTTGGCAATCCTATTGTTGTGCACAGCCAGCCACATGGCAAAGACAACATTCCTATTGTCACAATATCCTAAATATATAAGATTTACAAATGCATTAATATAAAGGACACACAAATTTGGGATGAAATTAAAGACTATTATCTTTAAAAAGATAAACAGCACTGTAAAATTAAATGTATAATGCTGCCTGTGAAAAGAAAACACAACTTCAACGCTGTTGCAGGTGTAAGCACAGCAGTTTTGCAGATGAAGCAGTAGTACTGACCTTAAGTAACTGGGGGACTTCTGATCAATTTAATAAATATTTTAAATACATTACAGAAAGTAGGCAATTTCCTGGATGGAATGACACTTTGCATTAAAACAAGATGGTGAAACAGGTCTGTTTTGGGTTTCTATAATTAAAAAAGAATCCCAATCCAGTTATTCTATTGGAAACACAAATACAATAAAATCCTTGCCATGTCTACGTATTTTCCAGCATCCCTTCTTTCATCCCGAGACACAAACAAATAAATTCTCTCTACCGACAACATGCAAGTGGCTTATCAGGCACAGCAGTAGCTTGCTTTAACACTGTGTAGTCCAAGAGAAGGGATGGTGCCCCAAAGGTGCAACAAGATAAATAAAACTGGAGAGGATTCACATGGCACCATGATTAGTCTTGTGAAGACTATCCTAAGAGTAGGGAACATATGGCTAAATTACCATAGATAGGGGACTCATGAATGCTGGGGTAATTTTAGAGGAACATATGCTGAATTTACATTCAATCCAACCAAGGAGTACTGACCTACAAACTAGTGGGACTAAATCTGACCAAAAGCAATGACAAGAATGTCTCTAAAATTATTACCTTTATGAAATGATGATCAGCACGAGGAATGGTTGAATCTCTCGGTTTGGTAAGGATATACTGATTGTTCTGGGAATCAATAAGCATACTAAGACCTAAGTCATCCTCTACTTCTCTTTTTGAAGCATTTCTTTTGGAGTTTGTTTCATCTTCTTCCACCCTTAAAACTGCTTCAAAGTTTACACCTCTTACCTGTCAGAAAAAGAAAACAAATAATCAAACAAAAAAAAAAGTGGGAGCCAGTTAAGCATATAATAAAAACGGAAAGACTATTAGCTGTGCTTGAAGTTTTTACAGAACTTGTTGACAACAGCTAAAAATACTGCAGCTTTTTTCTCTAAGAAGTCTTTTATTTTCTTTATTAAAACTTGGGTGTCTTGAAATGTAACATGTTATTACCTTGAACAAAAACAACTGGAGATTACAAAGTGATATTCAGTTCTCAAAAATATGAATTAAAGACTGCATTACAAGTCAAGAAAAGGTAACTGTTCTGTAAATTTGAAGGAGAGGCTGTAAAAACTGTTTCTACCTAGTTATTTTCAGGATTTTATTTCCCAAAACAGCAATTCATGGAAGCATTTTTTTTTTTCATTTTTACCAACTACACTTCTCTATTTGACTATATTTTAATAGAAGCCTGTATATCTTTATCAGAATACTGATAACTCTATTAGAGCCTCTCTGTTCTAAAATTCCAGTGTTTTTGCTTAAATGTTCCTTGCAAAGACAGAGATGCAAATAGTCCTCCAGGTTGCATTCCATGATTCCTTTTCTTTCATGGATGGAGACAGAAGCAGAAAAACAAAGAGATGCCCTGGAGGAGAAGGACGCTTTGGCGTTTTTCCAGCTCTCACGTGCCGCAGGACGGACCTCGCTATTCCAGGGTGGAACAGGAGAGGGCGCTCCCGCGGCCCCGCTGCAGGCGCTGCCCGGTGGGACCCCGCGGGGCACGATCGCTCGTACCAGGTGTGCACGGAATAAAACAGCTGCTTTCGCTTTCTCTCCATACAACTACAACTACAGGAAATCCCACGGCTTGGCGCTCTGCTACAGAGCAACTGTTTTTTTCCTCCTCAGCAGAATTCAAGAGCTATGCTCACCTCGGAAGCCAACCTGCAAATCAACTAAAACCTCTCAAGAGCAAAGGCCAAGTAAAGTTGCAATCCATGGCTATGCAAACAGGGCCAGTTTAGAGGGTCTGTCTCTGAGGATGGCAAAATGAGACACTACAATAAACTGACACATTCTCAGCTCCAGAAACACACAGCCTTAACCTGAGGAATATTGTCTGTCATGCAACATAAAAACAAAGAACAATGCAAGTAGGCCAGGGTGCAAAAGGGAGAGGAAGTCAGTGGTGGAAGAAAGCAATACCACAAACACATTTCAGGTCCTTCCCTTAAACAGTATATCTTTTCCCAGACCGTGAAAACTAACTGCAAGGATTCTTGTTCTCCCGTAATTTTCTCAACAAAATGAAAATGTGGAGACTGCTTAACATGGTAACTCCATATCCTGAGAAGTCCAACCATCACAGTTCCCACCACCACTGAGATGTCATATCTGTCATGGGCTGCATCAGTGAGATGGGCTACATTTGTCAAAGTGGCAGCTGCAGGGAGGACTTTCAAATCAAAAACACAGAAATCACTAGCAAAAAGGAGCAATTATTCCCGATGCTCACTCTTCTTCAATCCCATAACCCTAACAAGTATATAACGCATGAGAAACACACTTACAGTGCAAATACTAATTATAAATAAATGCATATCAATGAAAGGACTGAGTCTAAAACATCACTTACAGATTTGTTGTCATCAAAGGCATGCTCTTCTATTTCCTCTTCCAATCTATCAGCTGCCTTCCTGACATCTTCCAGAATTTCATCAAGCATTGACAGGCTTTTGTTTTGATGCTGCATGTTCTTAAGGGCTTCAACTTGGTGTTTTTCTGCTGCTAAGAGTTCGACATATTCCATTTCTTCCTGTTGAATTTTACAACACACAGATAAAGTGCTGGCCAGGCCTCTGAGCAGAAAAACATCTGACATAAATGTATGCTTCTTTTGACACAAAACATCTTATTGGTGGAATTGAAAAAGCAACATAGAATTCATTATGGTATTTGAAGACTGCTTTCTCTTGTGCCAATTTTCATTGGGGTAAACGGACAAGAAAAACAACCACCAAACAAAATATCCACCAATTACCTTTTCTAATCCATTAAACAGTAGAGCTGACCCAAGAGTTCTAATCCATTAAACAGTAGAGCTGACCCAAGAAAATACAAGAAAGGACTTACTTTGATAAACTCTAGGAAACATTTCAGAGCCAAGTAGAGTTTAGCACCCAGTGCTTTAAGAGGGAAGCATAATACCTTGAAAGCATAGCTATAATATCTACAGCAAACAAACTGTATGGAAAAAACAATGAATCTTAACTTTATAAAATGCTTTATTTTTCAAAAATTACAGTAACTGTGGAAACAGCCACAAGAAAAGAAAAGAAAAAAAAGAAAAGAGATGGGAGAGAGATGAGCAGCCAATCGTTCTAGCCAAGTTTCCTGTTTATGTTTCCCAAGAAGTACTTTCCTATCAGAAGTAAAATACTTGACTTTTTCCCCCATTTCAGTTTGAGCCTCTTATAAACTTACACTGATAACTTCTGAAATTCATTTCTAGGCTTCAGAAGTAAGAGAAGAGAAAATGCTAATATGGTTTGATACGGTGTGAAAATACTCCCTGAAAAAGTTATGATGTTTCATTTCTCTTTGGATGTTTCAGGTTCAAAAAGACAACTAAAAGGCTTAATTTAATGATCAAGACTGGACTTAACACTGCACCTTCTACATAGTTGCCATGACAGTAACCAAACTGAATATTTTGTGTGTTGACAGAGAACAATCTGAGGCTTTTGGAAAAAAAGATTCTTCCCTTTACATGCCTACATTCTTTTAAAGATGCACTGGTTGAGAGAACAGCTATGAGTAAGGAAACATCCACAATTACAGCACTTCTTCCTTAAGTTAGGTTCAGGATGCTGACAATACTTAGATGAGAGAGACCCTACTTCTGCTCTTTAAGAGAGCCAGTATTATTACCAAGGGCAAAAAATGGGTAAAAAATGCAAGCAATCTCTAGCTCTGAGTCAATTCCCAGAAAACACAAGTTTTTGTCTCCAGATGCCCTGCCATACCCAGTTAGAAATCAGAGAATGTAGGTCTCCCTTAGGTTGTGTGTTTTACCCTGCCTACCCTCTGTAGACATCTTCAATAACCTGGACATATAAAGTGGTCCTAAACACCTACGCTTAAGTAAGTGGAGGTCCCCTCCTCCACACATTTGCAGATGGACATTTTCCCCCTTAAAACCTGCAAGAACACACATGTAATTTAATCAATTCCGTGATGCCAAGACAACAGTATGTTCAGTACAACTGATAACTGTAGTTTAATTCTTTTAAAATCCCGACAGTCAGTTAAATGCCTCTGATTGTGATGAAACCACAGAACTGCTGTCTGTTGGTGTTTAGAATTACCATAGTTACACAGGGATGATGAAAGTTACCCAGATCCCAGAATAAGTGAAGTTGGGAAAAACGTAACTATTAGCGTGTTTAGCCCAATGTCAACAATTAGTTCTTATGCAACACTTAAGTAGGAGACACAATCATACTGCCTCGAGGAAAAACATTTCCTATCTGGTGCTCTTTGCTAGCAGACATTGCCTGAAAGATGTAAAAAACAGCCACCATATGAGCTGCAGATTTTCTGCTCATTCAGCAACAAACTGGAATGCAAGATGAATTGTTATTCTTTCCCCTCAAAAACTGAAGACGCTTTGGGTGCAGGGAGCCCATTTCAGCCCTTTCTGTCGGTGGAGACAAACAGGCTGAACAGAGCTAGAGGTAAACTGCAGAATAATAAATAATTCAGTAATTTCAAAGGAGTTAACTTTCCCTGAATAGCAACATAGAAAAGCTTTGAAAAATCAGTTTAACTGCAAGTTCCTTCAATTAATGGAGATGAAAGTTTTTGTAGTCTATTAAAGAGGCATCTCTGTTTCCACCTACAGACCACTGTGACAGCATTAAAGTGGAACAACCACAGAGAACGGGGTCCATAAAAAGGACAAGTTATCTCAAACAACTCTATGCTGAGCAGAAGTACATCACAGTACAAACACTGTTCTGCAGCTGCTGGGATTGGAGACACCCGATCACGAGGTACATACCGAACCACCTCTTAAGCAAAGTAATACAGATAAGGATTGTGCACTTAACAGGAACACCTAGAAACACATGAGCAAAATGTAAGACTTTGGGGCAATGCTGATTAAGAAGGCAGTGTTGCTGTTGTTCTCTACTACTTAGTCAGAGATGACTAAAGCACATTCAGAAGAGGTTGCATCTTTGTACTACTTGCAAGGGTTTTTTTTTTTCCATCGATGTCTGATTACTAGGCACCCAAGAAATCAGAAGCTGATAAAATGTAGGTAAGATTTTGTTGCTTTTTCCTGAACCTCCACACAGGCTCCTGGAGCAAAAGAAGGCAGAAACAGTCTTCAGTGCTTCTTCCTTACTTCCCCCTCGCCCTGTGAATGATTCCACAACACCTTTTCCCAGCAGCAGAATCAGCAAGAAATGCATCACACATACATACATATCCCAACACTAAAGACTTTCAAGTACTTCAACTCAACAAAATTAAACTGAAGGGAAGAGTCCAGCCTCCATTTGTATTTTCCATTCACTCACTGTTTAAAAAATGGAAAGGATGATTTATGAGTGCACCAACAAAGTAATCATTACAGTAAAATGAAACTGGAACAAAAAGTAGACCTAATGTGTACCTTCTCAAGTAAGAACAAGTCCAAAAAAATGTATCCCATGAAATTTTCATCTTTTTGGCATGCATTTCTCCACATTCTTTGTTTCCCTTTATAGAATAATTAAAAGGTTAGAACAACAAAGAGTCTATTTAAAGAATCATGTGCATGGCATAAGAAGGAAGGGTGCAAAAAATTGCTCACTCAAGTAAATGTATTGATATGATAATACAAAAAGCCTTTACAATCCACCTCTGCAAAAGTAAAGTTTTGACAGGACCAATCTCTAAAACACATCATTATATACAAAGATCTCCTTTTAGGAGAAAAACAATGAAGTACCATTCTCAAATTCAAGGACAGATTACCTCAGTACTTTACAGTAACATTACCAAGAATTAGGTAAATGAGAAAGAAGATTCTGGACGGCTTTACTGCTGCTATTTTACAAGATCTGAGAAAGAAAAAAGGTGGAAAATCAAGTAATGCTCAGAATGCTCACGACAATTGCTACCATTTCTATACAGCAGAGGCTGCTACTACGATTAAGAATCAATATCCAAGTCATATCAAGCACTTCATTGGAACACACCTAGATCGAAACCACTCCCTATCCAAATTTTTTGTAATTCAGTCTTTGTTTCCACTGCACAGAACCACTCCAGTTTCCCAAGTTTGCATCCTAACTTCTACTTCCACCAGCCTTCCTTGCCTCAAATCACTGCACACCTTTCTTGCACATAATCTTTCAGTCTTCACCTGTAAAGATCTGCAAACCTCTTAACACAAATGCCCTTTAGCCATTCTCCCAACTCAGACCCTAGACCCCAAATACATTTTTGTTCCTTCTCTCACTCCCTTGTGCAAAGGCAGACTCTTCTTTTAGAAGATGGAAAACAAAGAAAATTCTTAATATGTTCCTCCAGTGGTTGAGGGGTAGAGCAAGGAAAAGAGCAATTTAAATACCAAATAAAGTAAATGAAATTTTCTCTCAGTGGGAGCCTTTCAGAGCACTGCCAAGTCCAGAAGACAGTGGCAGACTGTGCACAACCTAATGGATCTGCATTGACATGGAAACTCAAATTTTCCATGAAATACTTGTGCTCAACTATTACTCATCTGTGTTTTTTCTTGGTAAAGTTATCTCAGCTGGCTCTTTCTTGAAAGCACTGCTTTTCAAACCTGCATTTCTTAGGCTAAGAGTGCTATACTGAGTTTAAAAATATAGTCACTTACTATTTTGCATGCCCATTTTACCCCATCTATACTAACATGGAAATGAAAGGCAGTACATCATGTTGTTTAAATTGTAGACTTTGGTTGAGCAATTCTAAGGTAAAGTGGAAAAAGCACTTAGTATTTTGCCAATTTATGGCATTATTTCCACTCTGATAACCCCACTGGCTTGTCTTGCCTGACTGTGCTATGTGCACTGACTCACTGCTTGTATTCTTTTCTCTTTAACATAATATTTGCCATTGGTCTTACGATTATGCTTAGCTTTGAGATAAGAACTATTGACTGCTAATAAGTTTTAAGCTCTACACCAGAATTACCTCTAAATTTACTAATGAGAACAAATAATTAATTCAAAATCCATTTTAAATATCGCAACTTCTATATAGATACCCTTTTTTATTAAAACGGAATGAAATTGGGTCATAATAAAATTAAAATCACACGTAGAATATGAATACTGTAGTAATAAACATGGGGAAACTAACCTTAATTGCAGCTTCTCTCAAGGCTTCCAGCCTCTGTCTACTGCTTTCTTTCATATTTACAACATCTTTGTAATCCCCCTGTAGAGCTCTCTGGAGGCCATGGATTGCCTGAAAGACGGAGTTTTCACTTTCATTTAGCTCCTTTTGGAAAATTTCAAAGGTATGCACCTGAAAAAGTTTCTCTTCATCAGACAGTCCTACATCCTTCTCAACTGCTCTTATGGCATTTTTTAGTTTGTTGAGAACAACGTTCTTTTGGCGAAGAAGACCAGACAGTTTTCTGCAACTTTCCAACACCCACTGCTTCCTCTCAGTGATAACAGCTCCTTTTCCACGGTGCAGCTTTATTGCATGCTTTACTACATCTTCATGTTCTGCAGGATTTGCTAACTGGCCACAAGGCAATGAAACCAATGTCCACAGGGAAATAAATCCAGTCGCCTTCATTCTTCACTTTATATTGCTCTTGGGAGAAACTGAGAATTCACAGCTGCTCAAAGGATTCTGCTACATGATTTCCGCATCTCCAGTACACACACCAGGCTGCAAGATAGTACCAATCAGTTATCAAATGTGGTAATGTTGGGCCATGAGGTCAAACAAATGTAGAAAATAAACCCAAGATTGCGGCCTACACCACGATCTTTAACGGAACATATGTGGTCTCCTTCAATCAACATTTAACAAAACCAAGAAACAGCTCAAAGTTACTGATAGATTTTTGGTTTCCCCTTGACTATTTCCTAGATAGCATCTTGTTTTAAAAGCAGTGACCAGAAAGCTTAGTCACTTCACATGGTACTCATCGGCACTTCTTACATGAAAGGAAAACCTCTAAAAATATCAGGTCTAAAAAATGTCACAGGCTGCACTTCAACCTAGAACTCCTCGTTTTTTCCTGTCAATAAACCTCCTGTATTTCCTCAAACCTATCCTAAAAAAATTACATCATAATAATTTGTTATTTATAAGTCTCGGAAGCATTAACACGCTCAACAAAACATAATGAAGAAAAGCCTAACTGAAACAGATTACATTATAAATTGTAATTGTGGAAGGAAAAACAGCAAAACCTCCTGGACTTCTGGGTTCTACTAGTTTGGATCAAAGACTTTCTTCACCTGAAAGGCTGCAGGGCCTTGGGATACTTTACTTCAAAGCTTACTATTGATCCTCATGATTTCAAAATAGTTATAAAACCACTAAATCAGTTAATTTTTAAGTTCATTTCCCAGAAACTACTTGGAGATCCATATATAAACTTCTGTAATTGATTTTAACACCAAGTAGGATAGGATTTTAAAGCTAAAAGCTACCTTCTTTCCCTCAGAAGCTCCGGGAAAATGCTGACGCTATTGTAAAATAACAAAGTTACAGTGTCTTTTAAAAAAACCCAAACAAATACAAAAACCTTTAAACCCCTACCACCACCACAAAGTTTTACATAGCAATGTATAAATGTCTCTACAAAATATACATTTAACACTGAAGCATGGCATTGTAAAAATGCACAGCACACACAACATGTTAGTAGATCATCAATTCAGCAGGTATTTCCCTAAAACTTTAGCTACAGTCTTGATCCCTCAGCCAACAGCCTTAATCAGGAACCAACAAGTGGACATGGTCATCTGAGAGCAGCCTGCCTAAGAAAGAATCTTCTTTTCCTATCATGTAGTACAATCTCAAGCACCCAAGCCAGCCATTCTCAATATACAGAATGAGATCTGAGCAATCTGGTCTAATGGAAGGTCTCCCTGCCCACAGCAGTGGGGTTGGAACTAGATGGTCTTTAAGGTCCCTTCCAACCCAGGCCATTCTGTGATTCTGTGGGAAGATGGCAAGCACAGCCATACACATACATTTTAAAATACCCTTTGTTTCAGAGGGAACTGAGAAAACCTGTCTGCGGGTTTTCTTCAATGCAAGCCAAAGTATTTACCTAAAAAATAGTTGACTGTGGGCTAGGGTTCAACAATATGAAGAGCTAAAACATTTAAAATTAAGAACTGAAAGTGCAACTGAAGTAACAAAGCATATCACCTCAGTCTAATATCAACAGACTAGCAGAGTAGAAATATTTCAGCAGTGGGGTTTACTATTTTTAAGCAAGCAGAAAAATAACACCTGGCAAAGTTCTAGAGTGAAATTAAAGGAAATATTTCTTCATGTATACAAAATAATACTCTCCCTGTTTGGTAGGCTTTGGGCAGAGATTTTGCTAAATATATTACAATCTATTTCTTCAGGAGAGAGGAAGAAGAAAACACCCAGTGTATATCCAAGCTTCCGTCTTCAGGGGGTGGAGTAAAAGACTCTACTGCACATCTTACATGGTATGTCAAACCACATAACTAAATTTCGAGCACAGATTTATACTAGCAAAGTTCACTCACTGTTGTGCTGCGCAAACTTAGCAATGTGGTTCAGGACAGTTTTGTTTCAGTGTTTTTTACTTGGCTAGCAAAAACTAGAAAACTAGCATCTGGGGCAGTGCTCAAAAGCTCTCACGTACCAAAATAAATTATGTGATGCAGAATGCAAATAAAAAATAAATAAAACCCAACAAAAATAAACACTCCTCTCCGTGCATCAGTAAGTAGCAAATCAGAGGGAACTACTATCGTTTAGAGTCCTTATTTAAGCAGAGTTGCTTCCTGATGGAGTGCAGCTCATCTTCCCCGTTTTTAATCCCTGACCACGACACTGTAGCACCGGATTTCATCAAGTTGGCGATACTGGACCCTGCCTCCAATGCAAACCCCGTTCCCTCTCTTCCAAAACGCTTGCAGGTCCTTCCACACCTGCCAGTCGCCGCCACCCACCACTTTTCCCCATCCCAGCTCCTCCCCGGGAGCCGCAGGGC